GGAGTGTATGTTTGGTGAGACTCCCCTAGTTCTGCTGAATTTATATGCCCCTAACACGGGTCAATTGCAGTTCCTATCCCAAACACTCGCCGAACTGGATTCCATTTCCACTTTGCAGGTGATAGTTGGGGGAGATTTCAATCTGATTCTTTCCCCCCATAAAGACAGGAAGGTTCTTTTTGAGTCCACTCCCTCGAAGTGGCAATGCTCCTCTTCAAAATATTTTCGTAGATTGATTAGGGAGCATCGTCTCTTTGACGCATGGCGGATTAAACATCCTCTCCATAAACAATTCACTTTTTACTCTACTCCTCACCGTAGTTATTCTCGCCTAGACCATTTTTTCGTTTCTGCCCCATTGCTTCCACTTCTGGTTTCTTCTGATATTAAATCCCATCACTTGGTCTGACCATGCCTCTTTGACTTTAAACCTTTTTTTCCCCCCTGTTATATCCAAACCCTGTCATTGGCACCTTAATGAGACCTTTCTTTCCACAGACCATCTTAGAGATGAATTGTCGCAGGGACTTGATGCCTACTTCACCCACAATGTTGGCTCCGTAACCTCCTCCTCAACTCTATGGGAGGCCCATAAGGCGGTTTTTCGAGGGCTCTGTATTTCTATGGGTTCTCGTTTAAAAAAGTCCTCGGCGAGTGCTAGGGGCTTCCCTCATACAACAGCTATCTTGGGCGGAAGGACGGTTATTGGCTAAGCCGTCTATTCCTGGGCTCCAGAGGGTAACTTCTCTACGGGATCAAGTTAAAGCTCTTGACTCCAGTAAAACTGCTCAATCCCTCCTTTGGGTTAAGCAGAAATTCTACGAATTTTCCAATAAGCCCCATCGTATGTTAGTCAATCGTCTCAAAGCTCAGTCCCCTTCTACGATGCCTGACCTACTAATACAGCCAGATGGAAGCCCCACTTACGACCCTCGGGTTATAGCAACTCTTTTTGGCTCATTTTACGGGAAATTGTACAACTGTTTAACCCCGGACCTGCATCCACCCCTCACACAGTCATTATTTGATAATTTTTTTGACGCATTGTCACTCCCGAGAATCTCACCTTCAGACATTGCCACCCTTAATGCTGACATTACACTAGAGGAATTATTGGACACAATCAAACTTCTCCCTTCTCGTAAAGCTCCGGGACCGGACAGATTGCCCTACTCCTACTATAAAACTTTTATTGGTATTTTGGCACCGCATCTCCTCTCTCTATATCACGATCTTTTTAAGGGAATTATACCCCCAGACCGAATTCTCCCGTGCATATATCTCGGTCATCCCTAAACCCGATAAGGACCAGTCTATCGTGGACAACTACGGCCCCATTGCCCTACTCAATTCTGACTACAAGATTTTTACCAAAATTTTGGCTAACCGATTGTCCGGAATCATCTCCAAGATCATACATAGGGACCAAGTGGGCTTTGTACCTGCCAGACATGCCGCAGATAACACTAGGGAAACTATTGATCTGGTTGATCTGGTTAACAGGTCCTCTACCCCTACTGTGTTATTAAGCTTGGACGCTCAAAAAGCTTTCGACCGTTTAAGCTGGCCTTATATGTTCATGGTCTTGGAGAAATTTGGTTTCAAAGGACCATTTGTAGCAGCGCTGAAGGCCCTCTATTCATCCCCCCTCTCGCAGGTCAGATTAGCTTCTTTTCTCTCGCCTCCCTTTCAGATGTCAAACGGTACACGTCAGGGCTGCCCACTCTCTCCTTTACTGTTTATTCTTTGTCTGGAACCTTTGGCCATCGCTATTAGGTCAAACCCGGATATTCGTGGGATACAGTCACATTCCCATGAGTACAAATTATCGTTATTTGCAGATGACATTCTTCTCACGCTTACGAGTCCCCATACTTCTTTACCGATTTTGCATAAGACCTTGAAACAATTTGGGCTATTTCAGGTTACAAAGTCAATACGTCCAAAACTGAGGCACTCCCAATACATGTCCCGCCTATCGTTCTGTCCTCCTCGCTTCAGGAAGCCTTTCCCTATCGGTGGTGCACACACTCTTTAAAATATTTAGGTACTAATATTTCTCTTTCTTACCAATCCATATACGAGGCCAATTTCCCCCCCTTTGTTTCATAGCAATTTCTCGCTCTCTGAAACAATGGGATGCCTTGCCCATCTCTTTCCTCGGTCGCATTAATGTTCTAAAAAATGACCGTGTTACCCAAACTCTTATATCTGTTTGCGACTCTCCCCGTTCCCGTCCCTATGTCCAAGCTTCACTCCCTTCAGAAATCTTTCCTACACTTTATCTGGCACAATACGCGACACAGGATTGCACGTTCTGTTCTACTCTCTCCGCGTTCTAGGGGAGGTTTGGGAGTGCCGGATATAATCAAGTATTATTATGCGACTCACCTTTGTTTTCTTTTGTCATGGTCCACGCAACACCCTCCCAATACATGGACTGAGATTGAATCTTTACAACTGTCCCCAGTTCATCCATGTTCCCTCCTTTGGTCAACCGCGGCAGTGGATGTCTCTTCCTTCCGTCATCTATTCCTTGGTCCCATGCAATTTTCATTTACGGTATGGCAGAAATGTAAGGCTCAATTTACTCTGGCCTCTGAATGCTCCCCTCTGACAAATATCCTCTATAACCCTAACCTGCCAGACAATATGGCCATATCTCGGATGTCTCTTTGGGTGGTATCTAACCTTTTCAATTACGTCACTTGGTACATCCGGTGACTCGTAAATTACATTCATTTCCCGGATCTCCAGAAAAAAGCTTCTTTACCTCCTCATCACCTATATATATATTTCCAAATACGCCATTTTTCTCTACTTTATCATCCTCATTGATCCTGGGGAAGCCTACACCCTTCGAACGTTTATGTATGCAGGGCCCCCACCAAAGGGGTATCATCTCCAATACTTATAAAATTCTTCTGGACGCATCCCCTTTATCTAATGAAACTCACCTTTATGCGTAGGTGGTCTCAGTTTGTACAACGTGATATTGATTTACTAACGTGGAAGAATATTTGGGTAAATGCATCTAAATCTTCTGTCTGTGTGGTTTATAAGGAAAACATTTATAAGATTATGATGTTATGGTACAAAACACCTGAGGTTCTTCATGCTTTCAACCCGAGTGCTTCTCCTGTCTGCTGGCGCTGTGGTAGGGATTCTGGTTCTCTCTATCATATTTTTTGGACTTGTAAATCTATTGTTCCTTTCTGGAGGAAGTCCGCTCCTTGTTGCAATCAATGCTGCATGCCTCGCTCCCTTTTGACCCTCTGCATTTTTTGCTAGGCTTGCCATTCCCGGGTCTATCTAAACCAGCCAGAAAACTTGCTGCTCATGTGCTGACCGCGGCCAGGAGAAGTATTCCTATGGGTTGGTTATCTTCTACTCCCCCCCACACTGCTGACTTTGTACAAACTTATTGCTGAAGTAAGACGGATGGAGTATTTGACTGCCTTACATAATTGTTCATCTGCTGTATTTGAGTTGATTTGGCTCCCGTGGGATTCCTTCATTTCCTCTCTTTGCCGGCCTGAATCTAAGATCCTGATTGTTTTCCGCACTGATTTTGTATGACTCTGTATGACTCTATTGGACTTGATTATGTGTAGTTATGCCATCGATGTTTTTTTTCTGTTATGTTTATAAGTTTACTTATTTGAAAAACCAATAAAAATTGTTATTACAAAACTTGGTCATGTATTTATTTTAGTAAAGTGAAACCACTAAATACCTATTCTCAGCAGTGGTCATGTGACTGTTTTCTGTGTCCGGCTGAGTGCTGGTTCAGCTTCTAGGAGGAGTTTTCATTCTTCTGAGATCCCTCCATGCAGTCTGCATGACTTATGACCCTTTGTCTGGACTGTGCTGATTTAGCTCTGTACCTCCACTAAAGCCTGTGTACAGGGGTTTCTTCCTCTGATGAAGTGCGTGCGCATGTACCGCGTAAGGAGGAGCCAGGACGTCGTGACGCTACTCCTCCGGAGCCACGTGGAGGCCCGGCGGCCATCTTTGACTCTGGAGGGTTAGTTCACCTCTTCAGTCCTGACATTGTTTTTTATCTGCATATACATGTTTGCAAACATAGTTTTACCGAATAAATACTTTTTCTGAATACTACACTATGGGCATCCTTTCCTGACTCCCCTGAGGAGTATTTATTTTTCAAGCCCGCTTTTTGTGATCATGTTGCTTCACCCAGAGAAGGAAGCCACCCTGTAAACAGGCAGCCTCTTCTGCTCATTCCTTAAAGGGACCTCTGGTTTCCTGGATCCGATTAATTTGCTACCTGAGCATCTGCTGTTTACCATCCTTGAGGGAGAATTACCTTAAAACTTGACCAGACCTATATCTGATGTGGACACTCCTGGATGTGATACTTAATGCGTATAACTAATACACATCTGGTGAGTGCGTATTTTCTGCCATTTCTCACGGAGCACCACCATTGATTTTTTTTACCAGTCATCTGGCACTTTATAGTATCATGGACTGTTATCTTTACTGAACTTTATTATTATTATTTTTACAGTTACTTGTTACCATTTAGCGCTGCACTATTTTATTTATTCCATTTGTAAGGTTTTATTTGGTTACCTTGAGTGTTTAGCTGCTGACTGGATAGCGCTCACTTTTTACATTTTATTGTTACTGTGTCCACATAAAACTTTAAGCTTAGGGTTTGGAGAAATGGTCGGGTTAGAGATATGGATACACTGGGAAAAAAAAAAAAAATTGTTAAACCGACTATGAGAAGTAATGTCCATTCAATATGGCATGGTGTATCTAAAACCATATGCTTGATAAAGAAGTAGATCTATAAACCGGTGCGTTTCAAGGAAGGTGACTTACAACCAAGGAATATGTACCGTAAGGGTAATATATGATGTGGTGTTTAGGTCAGGTAATGAAATGTGAAATAATTGTATAATGGAAAGGGCCATATTGACATTTTGTCACATGATCTTCTTTTTTTTTTTGCTGCATTTGTTCTGCAGATCAACAAACGTGATTGGCTGGGCAGCAAGACGCTTTCCTCATTCTCGCTTCGTCTTATATGAGCAGTTTTCACCATGTGATCCATTTGGTCAGGTGATGATGAATCACTTTGTGTCGCTAAACTCTGCACTGCGGTCAGTGACTGCGTATCCGTTGCTGGAGGATCAGGAACGCCGCTTCCTGCAAGAGGTCAGAATTGTTCATCGTTGATTTATGTCCCTTCCTGTCTGTAAGAAGCACTTGGTGAAGGATCCATAGCAGAGAGTGTCCTTTCTCCTGTACATAGGGCTCATTGTACAAAAGACGAAAAAAAATTATTTTCTACTCCAGATTTCCTTAGCAATACAAAAATTCCAAATTTTTGCTCATTGAGCTGCTTGGGCAAACTTTGTTGGGAATGAAATGATCTAATCTACTTTTCATAGTTTAGTTAACTGATTAGTTCAAATCTGTATTTTACTTTTTCATGGAAAAAAATAAAATAACAAGGCCAAATTGAGGCTATATTTTGGTTCAAAAACAACATTCTGGTCTCTGTTTAGGTGCTGTGAAGGCTGCTGGTAGTTTCTTTTTACATCTCCGTTGCCTTGAAGCTGATTGCATATGTCCCATTAGGCAGCCATTACTGTCTAATCTGTTTTGGATTTCAGAGTACAGGTATCATTACTTTATTGGCTGGTTGGTCTGTGCCTCCCCCATTTGCCATCTCTAGGCTCCTCGGTTGTGTCTGTTGGGGGTCCCCTTCCCCTGTTTTGTAAACTGCTTGCACTTACTTTGATGTCTGCTCCCTGTGGGTCTTCACTCACATTGGAAAGATTTTTTTCATGGTTTGGACAAATAATTTATTTATTTTTGTACCCTGTGAATCCCTGAAGAAGCTCAGTTTGAGAAACGTGCTGGGACATTACACCTTCCATTGTGTTCATCATCATTATTCTTTTTGCCATCTGGATATACATTTAATGTTGAACATGGGTATAGAAAGGTGTATGGGGTAGCTTATGTCATAGTCACTTAATCTGTCCCTAAGCAAAAACCTATATAGTTTTTGTAGTAAAGACCATTTAAAGTCTGTGAGGTCATTGCTTTCATAGCAAAACTGTAGCTATGGCCAGGCACAGGGAAGTCATTTCCTCTGATTGAGCAGCACCTCCGTAACAAACTACAATTCCCATCAAAGTGCTTTAAAGCTTCTGGCCACAATGTTAACACAATCTGAAAGTGTATCTAAACCTAAAAACAAAAATGTAATATATTGCAGCTTATCATTGGCAATGTGGTGGCTGCATTAATTTTCCATTTTCAGGAACATTTTCAGCTAGTAAAGATTATACCTGTTGATTCTACCATAAATGTAGTGTCCTTATCACTTACAACGGCTGAAAAAAGCATAAAGAACCTTATCTTTGTTGTGTAAACTACTGGTCCCATTAATTCTCCATGTATAGGAGATGAGCAAAGGCAGACGTGGTTGAAGTCCAGCCTTGTGTGACAACCATGGCTCCTTCCATAAGGAAGCAAATTGAGTGTAGCCACTGTGTTACTAATGTGTTGTAATATATTGCAGCTGACAATTCTAGGTGGTTTTGTTTTGTGTTTTTTTGCTGCTATATATTACTGGGTTTGAATTCCAACCATGGCATTACCTGCATGGAGTCTGCATGTTCTCTCTGTGCTGTTGTGTCTTTTCGCCAAGTTCCTTTTGTTTTCCTCCCACACTTCAAGACATATTGATAGGACAATTGTCTCCTGCCTTAGTATGTGTATGTATGTAGGAGATTTATGGTTGGCTAGTTTTGGCACCCAAGCACAATCCCACCTGCTGAGGCTGACACCACCACCACCACCACCACCATCTTGTGCCCTGCTGCTCACCGTAGGCATCCTCGCAGCATTCCTGGCCATAGACCTTTATATCCCAAAGAAGGAATGTCCACACAATAGTTAGCTTCTGTGCACTTTACTGATGTTGTTCAGGGAATGGCAAGATAGTCACTTCACAATGGCATACATTCCTGAGTCACTTGACATACACAGTCATTCACATTAAAGTGGACACTCTGCAGTAGTCTCAAGTGAAAGCATGTACAGTACCTTACCTGCCATCTCCCTACAGTATCTCTTCTGTCCAAAGTCATCAGTCCTCACAGGACCATGCTCTCTGTAGATACCAGCTAATTGGGTACACCTCCCCCAGGGAAGCAGCTTCATGCAGGAATCTCTAGCTTGGCCTCAAAAGGCCTTTGCAAACCGCCCTTAGCCCCCGCCTCCTTAAGGGACAGAATGTCTCCTCCTGGATACAGGTCCACTGCACCTGGCCTCCTGCCCTGTCAAGAGCCCACGTATGCTTGTTACATTATCATAGGTTGTGGGGTGTATGGCTCCCATGCCCCAAGTCTTACTGTGTCCCCTCCCCTAGTTTGTGGGTGCTGATTTACCCCTGACATCACTTGTGGAAGGGCTGTACCTAAAAGGGGCCTAACACCTGATGTCACTTCCTACTGTACCAAACACTATTCTGGTACAGAGCCCACCTAGTAGCGGAAGTGGCTATCTGCATCTGCCTCCATGTATGTGACACAGGGACCAGAGATTTTAAGCTCCTTGAGGACAGGGACTGGTGATTGTACAATGTATAAAGTGCTGCATACATTGTTGGTGTTATATAAATATCTGTAATAAATGGATACAAAAGTAAACCTTTTTCATATTTGGGTTTAAATTTCACCTTCCCATTTGACTCTAATGCTAAAATTTTTGGGAAAATGAAGACCGGTCATTGCACTTATCTTTAACTTCTGAAATGTCCTCTCCTCACAGGGCTGGGAGAAATGTCATGTTTTGGACATGAATGAATTCTCCACTTTGTGTGTTCCGGACTTGGAAAAATTGCGCATTGAATCTCTGGAGCCATTTGATGAGTTTGAGGTACGGTTTCTGTGTCTGTTAGATAGATGAGTGTGATTTCTGTAGAAATTGAGGATGGCAGATTATTTCAAAGGATGAATGTGGAAGGATATCTTTTCTGCACTGGAGATTACTCCTACAATATATGATGTTGTATAGATGTTGTAGCTGATATGTAATCATATTCATTATCAGAACAGATAATTCCACCCATCCACTTCTGTATGTGGTATCTACATCTGGGATTCAAACAGTTTGTTTCTTTCTAGGATGTTTTCTGTTTTTCTACTACAACCCCCAGCAGAAACATGGGCTTGTACTGCCATAATGGGTGGTCTACAGTTCCAGTAACCCAAAGGGATCTCTGCACCGTGCTTACTACTTGTGTGGAACTGACACAATAGGTTATGAGTAAGAAATCGTGTCAGACTACCACCAAAGGTAATACAATACACTCACTAGATGTCTAGATTTCAGTATTACCAAAAGGTCAGAAGAGCTTCTACAGCCAATAGCTGTGGAAGGAAGCATTCTCTGATCTCAGGGGTTTCTTTTTTGATCAGGTGGCTTTACAAGCCCAGTGCCAACAAAAGGACCAAAGTACAATGCATCCAGAAAGTATTCACAGTGCTTAACTTTTGCCACATTTTGTTTGTTACAGCCTTATTCCAAAATTAATTTCTTTTTTACCTCAACATTCGCCAAACAATACCCCATAATGACAATTGAAAGAAGTTAGTTTTGAAATTTTTGCAATTTATTAAAAAATAAAAAAAACTAAAAAAAAAATATGTACATAAGTGTTCACAGCCTTTGACATGGTACTCAAAATTGAGCTCTGTTGCATCCTGTGTCCACTGATCATTCTTGAGATGTTTCCACAACTTGATTGGTGTCCACCTGTGGGAAATTCAGTTGATTGGACGTGATTAGGAAAGAAATAGACCTGTCTATAGAAGGTCCCACAGGTAACCTTGCATGTCAGAGCACAAACCAAGCCATGAAGTCCAAGGAATTGTCCGTAGACCCCCTGAGACAGGATTGTATCAAGGCACAGATGGTGATGGGCAGAAAAATTTCTGCAGCATTGAAGGTCCCAATGATTACAGTGGCCTCCATCATCCAAAGTGGAAGAATTTGGAACCATCAGGAATCCTCCTGGAGTGGGTCGCCCTGGCCAAAATGAGCGATCGAGGGAGAAGGTCCTTAGCCAAGGAGGTAACCAAGCAGCCGTTGTTCACTCTGAAAGAGCTCCAGCATTTCTCTGTGGAGAGAGGAGAACCTTCCAGAAGAACAACCATCTCTGCAGCACTTCACCAATCAGGCCTGTATGGTAGAGTGTCCAGACAGAAGCCACTCCTCAGTAAAAGGCAAATGGCAGTCCTCCTGGAGATTGCCAAAAGGCACCTGAGGGACTCTCAGACCATGAGAAACAAATCTCTCTGGTCTGATTAAACAAAGATTGAACTTTTTGGCCTGAATGTCCAGCATCATGTCTGGAGGAAACCAGGCACCTCTCACCACCTGGCCAATACCATCCCTGCAGTGAAGCATGGTGGTGGCGGCATTATGTTGTGGGGATGTTTTTCAGTGGCAGGAACTGGGAGACTAGTCAGGATCGAAGCAAGGATGAATGCAGCAATGTACAGAGACATCCTTGGTGAAAACCTGTTCCAGAGCACTCTGGACCTTAGACTGGGGTGACGGTTCATCTTTCAACAGGACAGTGACCCTAAGCACACAGCCCACATAACAAAGGAGCGGCTACGGGCCAACTCTGTGAATGTCCTGGAGTGGCCCAGACTTTAACCCGAATGAACATCTCTGGAAAGATCTGAAAATTGGCTATGCACCGATGCTCCCCATTCAACCTGATGGAGCTTGAGAGGTACTTGAGAGAATGGGAGAAATTACCCAAGGTGTGCCAAGCTTGTAGCATCATATTCAAAACGACTTGAGGCTGTAATTGGTGCTAAAGGTGCTTCAACAAAGTACTGAGCAAAGGCTGGGAATACTTATGTACATGTGTTTGTTTTTTGTTTTTTTTTTTTTTTGTTTTTTTTTGTCATTTTTTATTTTTAATAAATTGCAAAGATTTCAAGATTAACTTCTTTCACGTTGTCATTATGGGGTATTGTTTTGGAGAATGTTGAGGAATAAAATTAATTGAATCCATTTTGGAATAAGGCTGCAACATGACAAAATGTGGCAAAAGTTAAGTGTTGTGAGTACTTTCTGGATGCACTGTATGGGGCCCCTGATGCCCATTAGGTGAAACGCAATGGACAAAGATTATGGAACTTAAGACAGACAAAAATATTTGATTTAAATAGATAACCTCATATTCAGGCCCCTTGCATACTGGCATCTATCTGCAGCAGTACATCCTTCTAGGAGCCTTAGTGCAGACTGGTGTTAGCCCCACTAGGACCCTGTGAGGTTTTGGAACCCAGATCTTCTCTATCCTGGAACATTGTCCCTGCAAGCTAAACATCAATACCACTCTGTGCAGAATTTAACCCCAATCAGCTGCAGCCTGCCATAGACTTTGACAGTGTGCTTGCAGCAGATCCTGATGCTGCACCCAGCCCTGCTGAGCACACTGCAGATAGATGGCCACATACACAAAGGGCATCAGTGTTTTACCTTAGTTTTCTTACATGGTTCCTTCTGTAGGGGATTTAGATTTGTGAAGCTTGTAAAAGCTCTTCTGACCTCTTGGTAACTATGAGGTCTAGCAGTCTCATAAGGGTGTTTCATTACAATTGGTGGTGGTCTCACTCCTTATGAGGAGATGGCACAAAAGGTTCCCAGCATACACATTGTGTTAATGCCATTGCTAGATCTTTATACAAGATTATTATTATTATACAGGATTTATGTATGTCTGATGGTATGTATTCAACTCTAAAACTCAAGCCGAGAATGAATGTTGGGAAGTTGGTGCACTGTGCCGTATAATTTGTCATATATTACAGTTCTCCACAAACTGATAGTTAGACCCCCATCTCTAATACTGGAGCTGATCTGGTACGTGATCTGTCTTCATTTTTCCACAGGAGCTCCACCTCAAGTGTTCTCATTACTTTATCTTGGTGGCTTCTCAAGGAACTCTAGCTGACTGTACAGCCCTGCGACCTAACCTGTCTGCGATAATCACATAGGTATGATGGAGTGCATGAACAGTGTGGCAACTTGTATGAACTGATCCAACTTCCCGACCATCACATAATACACTAGTCACATGCTAGGAGGGTCAATTACACTGCTTTGAGTGTCCTCCACGAAGGAAAAACTAACATTTTTGCATGTGGTCCCATCCGTCCCGTTTCTCATTGGATGTCTGTTTGTGATCCTGCCTGTCCTGTCACTTGCTGGGTTCCTTGTATGTGACCCCACCAGTCGTCGGCCAGACCCCTGCATGCAAGTCGCACCGGCCATCAGCTGGACTCAGCGTGCGAGTCCCACCGGCCATCAGACAGATTTCTGTGTGTGATCATCGTTCGCAGCTCAGGGATCTGATTGTAATCGTGAGTCTCCTTTTTTTGTTTTCTTTTTGTAGAATTCTCAGTGCTTCCAGCTCCAGAGTTCTGTGGCTCTCTCTCTGTGAAATCTCTAAATACTTCTGTCTGCGGTCTACGTCGTTTTGGTCACCGCTCCTGTTTAGTGTGTTCCCAGGTCATCATTTCTGCTGGTGGGTTTGGGGAAGGAGATGGCAAGCACCGAAGATTGGACAACATACACCTTTTATTACGGGAAGATGATTCCTGGGGGCGAGAGATGAACACAGACCAATGGGGTAATCACTTTTTTATTACATGTTATTGCTTGGTGGCTCGTATCAATAGCGTCATTTTAAGATACTTTCAGAAGATCATTCAGAATTCATTGATAAGTGTATTTGATTTGCAGGTGACCTTCTGACTTGCTTCCTTCCCATAGACCCACCCCTTCCGTTCATTGAATTTCAGTTCCTTTAACCACTTACCTACCGGGCACTTTTACCCCCTTCGTGCCCAGGCCAATTTTCAGCTTTCAGCATTGTCGCACTTTGACAATTGTGCAGTCATGCAACACTGTATCCATATGAAATTTGTATCATTTCTTTTCACATAAACAGAGCTTTCTTTTGATGGTATTTAATCGCCACTGGGTGTTTTTATTTTTTGCACTATAAACAAAAAAAGTGCCAACAAATTGAAAAAAAACAAGTTTTTCTTTGTTTTCTATTATAAAATTTAGCAAACAGGTAATTTTTCTCCTTCACTGATGTGCGTTGAAGAGGCAGCACTGATAGGCAGCACTAATGGGCTTTGATAGGCAGCACTAATGGGTACTGATGGGCACTGATAGGCAGCACTGATGAGGTGGCACTTATAGGCTGCACTGATAGGCAGCACTAATGGGCAATGATAGGCAACACTAATGGGCACTGATAGGCAGCACTGATGGGCACTGATGAGGTGGCACTTATAGGCTGCACTGATAGGCAGCACTAATGGGCACTGACGAGGTGGCACTTATAGGCTGCACTGATAGGCAGCATTAATGGGCAACGATAGGCAGCACACATGGGTACTGATAGGCAGCACTGATGAGGTGGCACGTATAGGCTGCACTGATAGGCAGCGCTGACTGGCGGCAGTTATGGGGGGCACTGGTGGGAGGCACTGCTGGGCACTGATCAGGGCACTGATCATCAGTGCCGATCTCTTCTATGACAATTGCTGGTTATCGTCAGTACTTTCCTCAACCTGTGACAGCGTGAGGAAATTGCTGCCAATAACCGGCAACTGTATTTACTCCATGATCTGCTGTGTCATCGTACACAGCTGATCATGTGGTAAAAGGCCGCTGTGATTGATCTTGTACCTCATTACCGTAGGACACAGCGGTCATGGAAATCGTTGGGGGTGCATTCCGGGAGGACAACATAT